TATTACAACAGAAATCTAAACTTGTATCCAACAAGGACCCAGTGTAGGTCTGGACGGAGCACACAGTTGGCCGCCTCTTCGCACGCAAGTAGGCCAGGTGCCCCGGATTCAGGAGTGCAGGATGGGGTGCCGTGAGTCCGCCGGCGAAGCCTTGGCGAAGCCTAGAAGCTCTAAGAACTCAGGAAGCTGCACGCCTTGGAGGAGTTCTCGGGATTTAGGGTTGTTTGGGGTTGTTTAGTGTTGTTTAGGGCTTCGGGAGTGTAGGGGTTTAGGGCTTTTAGGGTTTGGAAGCCAGGAGATAAGAGCGTGCCAAGCCTGCGGCAGGCATGAGAAAGCTCTCCCAACGCCTCGCCCCGCAGGGAGCCCTTCTTCAATGCCAGAAGATGTACAGCAAGTTCAACAGCTCCCGACTCACTCCTCCGGCATCCCCTTCAAAGGGAGCTTCGGATCCGGTTCAGCCGCAGCGCAGCTTTCGAGGTAAGCTGGGGCTGAAGACGAACTCCCTGCAAGAGTCTGCGGCAACTCGGAGATCCCCCCAAGGAGGCCCCGGGGATCAGACTTCTACGAGAGAACCAGTGGTTCGTAGGGGCCAAAAGGTTTAGAAAGTTTCTGAAGCAGGCAGGAATCCTCTGCCGCTACATCACTACATTATCTCTAACTACTCATTAGCCCAGACCTACCTCCAAGCATCCTTCTTGTTCAGTGGTGTGTTTGGCTTTTGCCTTTGGCTTCTGAGCCCGGACCAGTGGCCCAAAGAACACATGCTCAGGACATGGTATAAGGCGCTGGGAGGGTTTTTGTCAGATCCGGCAACCAGAAATCCGAAAAATCGGCTGCAAGTGGGCCGTCGTCACCACTGCATGAGTCACGCTCCTTCAGGCTCTCTTGGTTCTTGACTCCGTCGACAGGGGAAGGGACGTGGGTGGTGAAGTCCTGTCTGCCGCTGCCTGCCGCAGCTCGTCCCTTTGCTCTGCCCCCACGCAGACCAAGCAATGCAGACTTTCAAGGGAGTTGTGACCAGAGCAGGGAGGGAAGGTGCCGGGGAGCATGTGAAAAGGCACGGCAGGGAAAGTGGCGCAGGGTTGAAAGTGACCGGCCAGCAGCGATCATGCTGAATCCAAACACGAGCTCAACCAACCAATGCTAACATAGCTACCCCCCGAAGGTCCTAGAACTCCTCGTCAGGCAGCCGGCCGGGGGAGTCAGAAGCGGGGACACGTAGGCAGTGTAGCCACACCAACATCCCTGCATGGTCACTGGGAGACCCCCATGCTCATCTTGCCTTCTGGAACACACAAACAATACGCTACAGAACCGAGAGACAAAGAGCCGTCATCTCTTCCGCGACGATCCCTCTGTCAAGCTGGTCTGGGCACATTTTGTAGAGACTGTAATATACCCTAAACCCTAAACCCTAAACCCTAAAATGGCTTTCCGGAGGTCCTGTGACTTTGCCGGCCGGTTGCAGAGTGGACGGAAGGCCTGCAACAGGAGCCTCTGGACAGTTGAGGGCTTTGGGCTTCGGAATTCCTGGTGGTCTTTTTGGGGTTGAGGGTTTTGGGGTTTAGGTCTGCGTGTCTGCGAACGCTAAGAACGGACATGGAACCATCAGACAAATCTCAAGAAACTCTCCGAGAACTCTCAAGAGAAAAAAGCTTTCTTCAAACAGCCCTGAACGCGAAACCCTAAACCCTGCGAGAGATCCGAACCGTCCGGCACGATCGTAGAGGTTCGCGGAGCTTCCGGGACCAAATGGGTCCAGAGATTAATGTGAAGGTTCTTGGGACCACTGCCGCAAGAACACAGAACCAATGCAAAACAAAACAGCTCCGCAGGAGCAGGCGATGGGGAAGTGCCGCTGCTCTGAGTGCGTAGAAGTCAGGAGTGAATACCTAGACTCCCGGAAGGATCCAAAAAAGTAGATCCCCTAATTTGGGACCCTATACCATGAAAGGGCACTTTAGAGAACTCCCCTGAAGATTGAGTTCGCCCCCTGGCCCGGTAAAGATCAGGAGCTCCATGAACTCAGAAAGCTGCACGGCTCACGCAAAAATGCCGTCGGCGAAAGGTTTCGGGCTTAGGGCTTAGGGCGCAGGCCCAGGAGGCAACAGCGCGCTAACTTGAATCCGCCTGTGGGCTCGAAAAGCTCAGCAGGGACATCTGCCGCAGAAGGCTTCAGCCCGCATGCCACAACGCAAGCCCGAAAGAGAGGCTGGCCACAATGTCGGCATCTTCACTTCGTGATGGGCTCCTCCGGGAGTCGCACCGGGCACAGCCGTCGAAAGAGCTCACTGGCGTCGCGCACGCCCGCGCTGTCCACACCTACGTCGGGGAGCGGCCCCCTTACTGAGGACAGCGTGGCAGGCGCCCCCACCCGCAGGGCACCTGAAGAGCGAGCTTCTGTTCGAGGAGGCAGCTCACAGCAGTTGCGCAATTCAAAGCCCGGGCCAAGAGGGGCCCGTTTCTGCTGAGCTCATGGGCAGCCCTCCTGCAAAAGGAAACCTCGTCACTGGTCCATGCGGGTCTCCATAATCAGCGAGTGTGCCTGCGCAGCACAAAGAAATCATGCAGCGGCCTAGGGCATTAAGTCTCGCAGTAGTCCTCATCTACCCAGCGCTGCCAGAAACTAACCTTAACTAAACAAGGGCAACCTCCAGACAAGGGTAGATGTCAACAGCCTGGGCATCGAAACCGCAACAGCGACACTAAGCGAAATCAAACACACCACATCAGCAGCCTAAACCCTAAACCCCAAACCCTAAACCCGAACCTCTAAGGGACAAACATATCGGCTTATGTAGTGGAAGGCTCGTGGTTAGTTCCTATCAGTCCTCTGTTCCATCCTACACCCTATATCCTAGAGTCTGAATCCTAAATCTAGGACATTTTCAGGTGGGTAGTTACCGTTATAGGAGCCTTGTAGAGGGTCTTTTTACCTTATAGAAGCCTTTTTGGAGCCCTATATACCCTAAACTCCCACCTGTAGTTTCCTTTAACTAAACCCCAGACCCCAAATCCTAAACCCTAAAGCTACGAACCCCAACCGCCACTCCCAAGGCTTACACCCTGAGCCCTGAAACAGATTCGGTGTCTTTAAAAGCTCCTTCACGGTTCGGCTCGTCAAGACATCTTCAAAGGTTCTGGGCTCTCTAGTAAAGGTTGTGTAAGGACTACTTTATAGCCCATATGCTCCACATATAGTCCCATTATGGAATGAGGTCCCAAAAGACTATCCCTATTAAGGTTTTAAGGACCCAATTCCATAATGGTACTATACATGGAGCCTCTGGGTAGGGTTGTTTAAGGCTTCAGAGTTTAGGGTTTTGGGCTTCAGGGGTCTCGAATTCGATCTTTCGAGGAGTTTGCAACATGGGATGTACATGGCTCAGGGTTCAGGGCTTTGGGGTTTGGAGCAGCAGCAGATTCTTTTTCTACCTCAAGATTTGAACATGTGTGTAGTTCTCTAAATTAGGGCCCCTGTTTAGGTCCCCATTACAGTGCGGCACCCTTATGAAAAAGGACCCTAAAAGGGACCCTAATTTAGAGAACTACCCATTTGGCTCTGGTTTGCACACCAGAAAATGGCAGGAGACTCAAAGTCTGCTCCCGTGGGAATAAAAACCCTAAACCTTAAACCTTAAACCCTAAAGCCCTAAAACCCTGAAGCCCTAAACCCTAAACCCTAAACCCAGGACACTCATGCTTAGCCTGCGGTGATGGGACAAGAGTCGTCCACCTCCTGGCTTCCTACCTATCGCTTGAGCAAAGCTGCGGGAGAAGGAAGCTCTGAAGCTCAAGGTGTAGGGTTTAAGGTTTGGGGTTTAGGGTTTAGGGTTTATAGAAAATGTTAAGGGTTTGGGTGCCAAAGTTTTGACCGAAACGTTTTGACCGAGTTTTTTTGTCACCATGATTTGAATCTGGGGCTGGGCTGCTGGCTGCTGGGCACTGGGCGGGCTGGGCCGGGCTGGGCCGGGCTAGGCCGGGCTGGGCGGGGCTGGGCTGGGCTGCTGGACTTGGCTGGGCTGAGCTGGGCTGCTGGGCCTGGCCCGGGCGGCAACCCTGAAACGGAGATTGGTTTATTCGAAAATGAATCGGAAATTTGTTTATTCGAAAATGGAAAGGTGTCTCTCCAGCGAAAAATAAGCTTCCGCACGTGAAGTCCTGGTGCTGGTAGTTCCGGAAGATTGCGGCGCTCTGGCGTCGAAGCCTCGAACGGATCAACGGGTTCTGCAAATGGAAATGTTACTCCTTAGGGCTGTTATCGTCTAGTCAGTTGTAGCGCTGCCCTGTTCCTGCTTTTATCTGCGCGGCAAGCGACTCGGCGGGTTCGAGCTCAGGATTCGAACGAAGTAGCTTCGCAGTGATGACGGCGGCTAGGATGCCCGGCTGGCGAGCATGGCAGGTGAGGGTGAGGAAGAACTGTGGCTGTCCCAGTTGCTCATACATGCTAAGCGCGATGCCCCTTCTTCGCGTAGAGATAAGGCTGCGCGCCGGGGATGTCGCGCAAGGCCGTGTAGACTCGTCGACTTCCGTCTTGATAGTCGTGGCAGTCCGCAGGTTTCTGCTGTGAGCCCACCCGAACATTCACGTTGCCGGACAACCGCTTCTTTAACTGTGTCTCCAAGAGCCACATGACGTAAGATGCGGATTGCTCAAAGCGACCATCTTGCCCCAGCAGTCGCTTTCGAGCATATTGCGAGAAGCTCCTGTACGCGTCCTTCCAGCCATTCGTTCCAACCGGAAATAAATTTGGAAAGAACTTGACGTCGATATCGTCGGCCAGCTGGGCGCTGCCTCTGGTCTGCCGTAGCTCCCCCAAGTCGGCTCTAGGGACTTTCGGATCCTTCGGTACTAGGTAGGTGAACTGTTGGTCGTCTTCCTCCTTTCCCGCTTGCTGGAGCTCTTCGCTTTCTGTACTAGGGCGTGCTGCAGCCTCGGACGATCTTTGCTGCAAGATAGCGCTCATCTTCGGCTGGATTGCTTTGATACAACTACAACACGTGCTGCGTCTGTAGCTCTTGTAGCGCTCGGCGCAAGTGCTCCAGCCTAGCCGAAGATGTCGTCATGCCATCTGCACCCTGCACGCTAACTGTGCCGTCTTCCTCCAAAACAGCACCTTCCAGGAGGTCACAAATGCACGGGTCCTGCATTAACACGGCATACATCCGGCCCCACTGTCCTCTCGGACCTCCCCAAACCAGCTTGTCCAGCACCACTTGGGATATGCGTGCCATGGCGAGTAGGTGGTGCTCGATCGGCTTGAGGGCTCGTAGTGCCGCAGGTATCGGTGGCAGGCTAGGCAGGTGGATCTTGTTCTTGCTCTCAAGGCAGTTCCTGCAAGTGAGTATTCGGGCAGGGCCCGATGACCGGCATTGTCTTGCTGGTGTTAAAGTCCTGCACGACTGGCATACTCGGGACAATCCGAAACGGGCCCAACTTCGCAGGTAATCCTCGTACATCTTCTGCACGTCGACTTCTGTCAGTTGTGCTTCGTTGGGGTACGGTGGTCCATGTCCGCCGCTGTTTGGCAGAGGTCCGCGGCTGCCTCCTCCCGCTTCGGCTCCTGTTTATACGCTCGTCACGGGCCCACTATAAAGCGAAATCTGGTTACCTGCGCTCATCGGAAAGCGACACCGGATGCTGTACGCTCTTTTGTCTCGCATCCACTGGCACGCTGCTGAGCTGCAACTCGAATACTGTATAGGTGGAAAGGTGGGGCCTCGGATCTGGAGCCTGGAGCTTGGCCCACTGCAAAATTGCACTTTGACTGAAACGGTAGGCCTGGAACCTGGAGCGTCTGGCCCGCTGCAGAGGTGAAACGGAAGCTCCGAAACCTGGAGTCTCCGGCCCACTGTACAGGCGAAAGAGAAAGCCTGCAACCTGGAGCCTCTGGCTCACAGTAGAATCGAACAGAATACCCTCGTGGTCCATCGAAACCACTAACCCTCGAACCCTTCAGTCCACGGACCCACTGTAAAGTGGAATCTGCGTGTTTACGCTCATCGGGAAGCGACACCGGATGCTGCACGCTCTTTTGTCTCGCATTCACTGGCACGCTGCTGAGCTGAAACTCGAACTGCTGTATAGGTGAAACGATGAGGCCTCGGACCCGGAGCCTGGAGCCTGACTCACTGCAAGATTGCACTTTGAGTGAAACGGTAGGCCTGGAACCTCGAGCCACTACAGAGGTGCTGAAATCTGGAGTCTCCGCCCCGCTGTATAGGTGAAACAGAAAGCATGCAACCTGGAGCTTCTGGCACTCTGCAGGTAAAACGGAAGGCCTGCAATCAGGTTCAGGATAAGCGTGACGGCTGCACCTCGGGCTCGAGCCCCTGCCGGGTCCAGGGTAAGTGGGCGGTGGCACCTCCCGACCCCCATTCAGGTTGAGGATAAGCGTGGAACCCCATTCAGGTTGAGGATAAGCGTGGCGGCTGCACTCCCGACCCTTCCCGACCCCCATTCAGGATAAGCGTGGCAGCTGCACCTCCCGACCCCCATTCAGGTTGACGATAAGCGTGGCGGCTGCACCTCCGGACCCCATTCAGGTTGAGCATAGGCGTGGCCATTCAGGTTGAGGATAAGCGTGGCGGCTGCACCCCCGGACACCCATTCAGGTTGAGGATAAGCGTGGCGGCTGCATCTCTCGACCCCCATTAATATTCAGGTCGAGGATAAGCGTGGCGGCTGCGCTTCTCGTTCAGGTTGAGGATCAGCGTGGCGGCTGCACCCCCCGACCCCTGTTCAGGTTGAGGATAAGCGTGGCGGCTGCACATCCGGACCCCATTCAGGTTGAGGATAAGGGTGGCGGCTGCACCCCCATTCAGGTTGAGGATAAGCGTGGCGGCTGCACCTTCATTGGTGCCGAGCCGCCTCTTCCCAAGGCCCTCATCACGGTTTGCCGTCCTAGCGGGTCATCACTACTCAAAAGTTAAGCACGGCGCTGCTTGCGGGAGAGCTCGTGAATCGGATGGCGTCCGGCTCGTTGCCCTCCGGCGCGTCCTGTCGCGAAACACCAGGAGCAAGGGCTTTCGGGACTCCCTCGCACAGGCCCAAGCGCTGAGTCGCGAGCGCAGGGTGCGCCTGATAGGTCCAGCATGCAGAAGGACAAGGGGGCTTGCCTCAATCGACCCAGGAGAGACTTTTCCCAGCTCTCCGCGTCAGAACATCACACAGTCCCAACGCACCTGGCACACTCGAAAGCGCTCACTCTGGCCGCAAGGCCCCATCCGCTCCACCAAGTCATCCCGAAAAAAGGCGAGCGGGTGAAATCGGCGCAGGCGCTGTCCACGCGGAGAAGACGGGGCCCGTGTCACCGGTGCCGGCCGCCACTAGGGCGCCGCGTTCGCTCACCCCCAGGCTGGGGTGCTGGATATACAAATGCATGAGGCACTTCGTCCGGGGCAGGACGGTAGGCTTGGCGCAGAGCATGCGAAAGGAAGCACCGTCCTCCCTCGCCACCTCAAAGTGCAGCCCGCAAAGAGCAACTCCTTCGCCTCCAAGAGGATCCACCGGAGCACATTGCAGTCGCTCTGCACAGGGCGCCGGGTCACATCGCCGAACATAGCGAGCGCCCGCCATGGCTGGGAGGAGGAGCAACAGCTTGGGGATGACTGTTGACCAAGGCTGTAACTGGCTGCAAAGATGTGGCTGGCTGCATCAGTCTTCCTGCTCGAGAAGCCCCTTGCAATGCCGCTGCGCTTTCAGACGCGCCCCCTGGAAGACGAGCGGCAGCGCCTTCGCATCCCATGCAGGCCGAGGGAAAGTCTTTTTGAAATTGTTAAGGGTTTGGGTGCCAA